ATAGATAGATAGATAGATAGATAGATAGATAGATAGATAGATAGATAGATAGATAGATAGATAGATAGATAGATAGATAGATAGATAGATAGATAGATAGATAGATAGATAGATAGATAGATAGATAGATAGATAGATAGATAGATAGATAGATAGATAGATAGATAGATAGATAGATAGATAGATAGATAGATAGATAGATATACACTTAGTTATAATACATTTATAATGTTGTATTTACAAATTAAATTGTACATTTGTGTTATGGTGTAGTCTCATATTATTTTGATTTCTCTTAGAAAATTTAAACTTTTTACTATGCAGTAGTTACTTTTAATAACAATCTATAAAAAATATTTTAATTTGATTTCATCGCGATATCGATGATGATGATTGTGACCTGACTGATTAAAAAGCATCAAAAAAAAAAAATTTGAAAATAGGATGGAGAATTTGTAAAATTAAAAAGCGAGCAAAATAAAATCTACGCATATTGGCTCAGCTTGGCTCGGCTCGGCTTGGAATTTGATGTTAAGCAAGGTGTGGTCTCAAACTATTTTGAATTCTCCCAGAAAAATGTGAACTGCGTGCGTACAGCACTGATTACTCTTGCTTTTACAATGAATTTATATTATATATGTATATATATAAGTGACTAGAATTCATGTATACAAATAATTAATAAGATTATATGTTTATATAAAAAAGCAATATAGCAGATTCAACCAGCCAATCAAAAAGTTTCGAAGGCGTTCGTTCGATGACGTCAATTTAGTATGGTTAGCAACGTTTTTAAGACTGTATAATAGTGTAGTACATACATTAAATAAGGTTTTTACTGATGTGAATGATTGGAATGATGGAAATGTATGGTGGAAACGAGTATAAATAGTGGATGAGATGACATAAAAATCAGATCAGGCATTCTGCCTCGCTTGAAGCAGTCTGTCTGATCTCATTTATTTTATTATTATAACTTTTTTATTTTTATTTATTTTATTATATAGAGTTATATAGAGTTTGCATGTCTGTGGCTTGTGTGTTTGTATGTTGTATTTTTTTTTATATTTTAGGGGGGTTCTTTAGCGGTTGCTCATGCATACATACATACATACATCATGTTTGTTTATGTGGTAGTATTTTATGTTCTGTTTTACTCCTTTTTCTCTTTCTTCATGAGTCTTGAGTTAAGTTAATGAAACATAGATAGGTGAGATTGAAAATTAATTTATTATATAGGTAGGCTAGGGCATAAGGTAATTTAGTTACATAGGTAGGTTAGGGACTTAAATTCTTTTACTCTTACTTGGTGGTGTGTTTTTCGTTTTGTGTGTTTTTTTGTTTTGTTCACACCATACATTCAACAGGTACGCGGTGGTTCCTGGTTTTAGTGGAATTTTTATTGATTGAATGTGGTAGTATGCATGGTTATATAGAGTTATATAGAGTTATATAGAGTTATATAGAGTTATATAGAGTTATATAGAGTTATATAGAGTTATATAGAGTTATATAGAGTTATATAGAGTTATATAGAGTTATATAGAGTTATATAGAGTTATATAGAGTTATATAGAGTTATATAGAGTTATATAGAGTTATATAGAGTTATATAGAGTTATATAGAGTTATATAGAGTTATATAGAGTTATATAGAGTTATATAGAGTTATATAGAGTTATATAGAGTTATATAGAGTTATATAGAGTTATATAGAGTTATATAGAGTTATATAGAGTTATATAGAGTTATATAGAGTTATATAGAGTTATATAGAGTTATATAGAGTTATATAGAGTTATATAGAGTTATATAGAGTTATATAGAGTTATATAGAGTTATATAGAGTTATATAGAGCATAAATCCTATATAGATACCTTTCTTTGAGGTTTTTTCTTTGCCGACCGGTCGGCTTCTTTGCGTTTTTCTATTTTCATTTAAATTAATTAAATAAATAAGATTTTTCCATTTATTTAGGTTCATTCAGGTTCATTCATTCAGGTTGAAGCTTCCAGAGGAGTTCATCGTGGATGATCAGAATGGTTGTGATGTCACGCTACGTTCATTCATTCAGTGGCAAAGAATGCACGCCTGGCTGGGGTTCATTTAACGGTTTCTTTGCGGTTTTTTTTTTGCCAGTTGGCTGGCTTTTCCGGCTGGCGGGTTTCACCGCGGCTCGTTTTTCTATTTTCTTTTAAATTGATTAAATAAATATGATTTTTTCATTTTATTCATTTCATTCAGGTTGAAGCTTCCAGAGGAGTTCATCATGGAAGATGTCAGGCTACGTTCATTCATTCAGTGGCAAAGAATACACGCCTGGCTGGGATACGTTTTATTCTTTTTCCTCTGTTTTTCTTTGTAATTTAACATTAAGTAAGAATGCTCACACGCACACACACACACACACACACACAATTACATTATGTAGCTATATAGGTAGGTTAGATAGGCATAATTTTAACTGTAGGTAGGATAGATAAGAAGCATCCAACACTAATGTAGTTGAATAGGTAGGCAGCGTAAGTTTATCGCTTCTATTTTTTCTTGCATCCGCATTACACGCATCAGCGTATTACATACACACACAAATACATACATAAACACATATGTTAGTATTTGAGCGTAATTTTATTTTCATTACACATTCTAATTTATTATTACTAAGGTTGAGAGTAATTTAATTTCATAGGTAGTTAAGGGCAATAATGTAATTCTAGGAAAAATCTTGTAATGTAAATTAAAACGCTGTAAGTGTATCGATAGGTAGGCTAATATAAGTTTTACATTATTATTATTATGTTGGAGCCCAAGGCATTACGTAGGTGGTGGGGTGGGCGCCGATTGGCTAAATGAATTGGGCTCTTGAGTTATGTAATTTTAGGTAAGCTAGGACCGTAATGTAATGAATAGGTAAGTTAAGGCTACGTTGTAACACATACTCATTAATGGATATAGGGTTTAAGTTTTATATTATTATTACTAAGTTGGAGCCCAAGGCATTACGTAGGTGGTGGGGTGGGTGCCGATTGGCTAAATGAATTGGGCTCTTGAGTTTTGTAATTTTAGCTAAGCTAGGGCTTAATTGTAATGAATAGGTAAGTTGAGGGTACGATAGCCGATTGACTCTGGATTTCAAAGTCTCTTGTCAGAGGCAAGCCTTGGTGGCCAGTGGTGAACCGGCAATGGTTTACTATCCGGACGGCAATGGTTTACTATCTGCACGGTAATGATTTACCATGCGGCATGGCCATAGTCTACTACCCGCACGGCTTCCGGACGGCAAATGGTTTACTATCCGCACGGCAATAGTCTACTATCCGCACGGCAATGGTTTACTATCCGGTGCCCTGGCTATCGGTGAACCTCTGTGCAAGGAGGGAGAATGAAGGGGGACTTTCGACTATCGTACCATTAATAATTTAATATAGATTAGTTAAGGTAATTGAATAGGTAGATAGGATTATTTTTATTAAGCAATTTGAGATGCAGGCACCGCTAAGCTTTCTGATGAGAATCTTTCCTTTATTTTTCTTCCTCAACACGGGCTGTTTTGGAAGACAACGTAGGAACCGAACCGCATTCAACATTCTGCATTTGTCGAATGAACGACGGTAAGTTTTTTTTACGTTTTACTCTTTTTATTATTTTAAAATATTATTTATTTGACATTATTTTATTTTATAGTTTTTTTTGCTTTTAAAGTTCTAACATTCACTTACTACTACGCAAATTGTCTACAGAATGATGAGAGGTGGGCAGTGGTGGGAGTCAGCACGTTTCAAATGATGGTCTCATGATGGTGGAGTTGGAAGAATCAGCTCGTTGGCTGTTCGACTGACACTGCAGTTTGGATGAAATTTCGTGTGCCGACCAGATGGTGCTGGTCGGTGCAATGGAGTACAGTAACGACGATTTTTGAAGTAAGGTTTAGTTTCTTTTTTTCTTTTTCTCATTTGTTCATTTTATCACTCAACTTTTTAAATTATTCTTCCATTAAATGATTCGTTAATTCAATCTATTCATTAATTGAATAATTGATTGATTAATCATTTATTCGTTCGTTCGTTCCTTTGTTCCTTGATTTACTACTACGCTAATAAAAAAATGTCTACAGAGTGATGAGAGGTGGGCTGTGGTGGGCGTCAGCACGTTTCAGATGGTGGTCTCATAATGATCGTTCCAATGACAATTCGAAGATAATATTAAAGGGAAATATGAAGGTACTCGAATTTGAACAGAGGATTGAGTGTCATCTCAAAAATATAAGTTGCCTAGATTTTCCAATGGATTGTTTTTCATTTTAATGAATTAATTTTTTTTCAATTTAATGTTTTTCAGTATCCGGTCAAATTCATTCCATCGATGCGTATCAGATGATGGTCGGTGCAATGGAGGTTCGCCGGTAGTGAGTGAAGAAGTTTCTGGAGAGTACACGCCCGCACATTTACACACACACATCAATACAACACACACATACACAACATCCATTCATTCGGTGTTGTTGTTATGTTTCTCTTTAACCTTCTATTTTCTTTACCGGACTTAATTTTATTCATAGGTAAGTTAGGGATTGAGATGAGTTGAACAATCGTAGGTAGGCTAGGGCTTAACATTAGTTAAAAAGTTTCAAGTAAAATAAAAACGCTAAAATATGTTAAATAAAATATTTGAATCATTTAAAATTCCAAAAGCGTAGAAATACATATTTGTAGGTAGGTGAGTTGAGTTAATGATTATAAGTAAGTTAGGGCCCTGAGAGTAATTTAATTGTAGGTAGGTGACTGACTACTATTCTTGCGACTATTTACTAGTTTTGTGTGATGTGTTTGTTTTCGCTTCACAGCACCACACCAACAAAACAAACAACATTTTATTCTGTTCGTCGTCTTAAATTTTATCTTTTTGAACGATCTTTTTAATAATGTCTATTTATTTAATTATTTATTAAATGTTGACTGGTTTCTAGTTTTTTTTAATTTGGTTATATAAATTTTGGATATTTCATGATTTACTTTGTATATATGCATGTATAAATAATTTCTGTTTGGTATGTTGATTTAATCATTCTGATATGTTGTGAACTGTTCTTACTAAATGTTCATGTTACGTGAATCATTCTCAGAGAACTACTAAGGAGTGTGTATAATAATAATGGATAATAATTTTTTATCGGTCAATATTTTGTAATACCTATTTGTTTGTTTAAAATTCGAAGTTTCAAAAAAATTGACGTTTTTAAAACTTTAATTTACCATCACTTTTCATTTGTGAATGAATTCAAATAAAAGCAACTATTGTGTTTTTCTTTCTTTACTAAAATCTCGAAATTGTTTTTGGTTTTTTTTTGCGTTTATTTGGTTCATTCAATTTTGTTCATTGATTTGTCGATTGGTTGGTTGATTAGTTGATTGAATGAATGGTTGGTTGATTTATTGGTTGATTGATTGGTTGGTTGATTGATTGATTGGTTGATTGATTGATTGATCTCATAGTATTGTATAGGTACATGAAAAAAAAATCCGATTAAGCAAACTTACGGCTTCAGTAAGCCACTGTTTTTCACCAGACAAAAGCAATTTCTATATTTATATTGAAAAAATAATTGTGATACATATAAATTGTGAAACGAATGTATTTATTGAGTATAATGAAGATAGTTGTTCAGATAACAATTTTGATTTATTTAGGCCGTTTATTTCATAAGCAATCAAATTTTTAACATGATCGAAGAGTGTAAAAAAAAGGGTGACTATAGTTCAATCCTGGTAAGCCTACCTTCAATAAGGCTTCAGTAAGCCACCGGATTTCACCGGACCAAAAGCAGTTTTTATATTCAAATTAACGAAAAAAAAAATTAATAATACATAATTCTATTAAATAAAATTAAATAGAATCACTACAATGTTTTAAGCATATTAAGTCAAGTAAATATTTCATATAGCTTGCTCGTTAAAACCCATGCTATGTCGTAAGCCAACAATCCAAGCATGTCAAATAGCCCGACCGATTGATCGAATTGATCGATCAGTCATTTGGTCAAAGAAACAAAATTTTTACCTTATCAGTTTAGTATTCATTAAATAACACAATAAATTATGTTTCTAAAGTGAAATTTTCACTAAACACTTTCAATTAATGATTCTCACGCTTGCGTACATATTTGAATTTAAAAATTTGCCGTCATTATTTTTAACTTTTAGTTCTTTGCTTGCCTCGTTAAGAAAACAAATTATTACTACTTGGTTGACTCTCGATTCACCTTTAAAATTTGATCTCCAAGATGCCCGGCTTGCTGGGCTCGAAGTTCGGACATTTTTTGCATCCCCATTATATAGGCAATTTGTTTTTGAGTGTCGTTTTTTTCATTTTAAAGACTTGCGAACCGTTCTGCAGCGCCATCTTTGAAGACTGCCAACTCGAATTGGTTAGTTTGTTAAACTTCCCTGATTTTTCTTTTATCACCAAGGAATTTAAAATTAAATAATAGCTCCATCATTTATGGTTTATTATTTTAATTATTTGTTATCGATTTGCAAATTTTTTAATTATTCCAATTTAATGCATGAAATAAATTGAGATCATTTTTGATCAGGTGATGAGTTTTTGTCTTTTAGTTTTATTTTTGCAAGATTCATTAGAGAGCAATAAGCTATAAATAAGTATAAACTATAAAATGAAAGAAACTAAAGTTGAAAGATAAAAACAAAAGTATTTCCGTCTATCCATTGATTTATTTATTTTATTTTTGTATCTGCACTCCCCAGAGAGAATGGGAGCTGATGACGTTCATGGGTTGTGTCATCGTCATGAAGAATAGGAAGACACGTTAGTTGAGTTATTCTTGCTTAAATTATCCTAATCTAACCCTAACCCAATTACATCTTATCACTAATTAGTTGACCCTATAGAGATAAACTAATCACCCAACTCTATTTTATTTAAAAACAGCCTCCTACAGTTTATACATCCAGACAGTCTGTATGTTTGCCAAGATGTTGAGTTCTGTCTTATTCCTTAGACAGAACCCTTTGTATGGCGCCCTCTATATCATTGCCTGTTTCTGTATGTATGTATGTATGTGTATATATATGTTTGTTTATTTGTTAATTAATTTATTTATATATAATTCATCACTTAATTTTATTATTTCATATTTGAACATTATCTAATCATATTACATCATGTTTGTAGTACATCTTATATTCCTACCTGAGCCAATATACAAGGGACCTGAGTTCATCACATATTTCAGAGGGCCTAATCTTGAGGTTGTGTGGTTGGTTGGCTGGTTGACCGGTTGTGTAAATGTTTGGTTGTTGGCTAATTGATTAATTAGTTGATTGATTGGTTGATTATATGGATAAAAGGCAGTATTAAAATCAGCATTAGCATAAACTCAAATACAGATACCAACATAATCTTTAGCAATAAAAGCACCACCAACTACATAACAAACACCAAAACTAACAACCCAGCACTCCCCTAAATAACCCCCCTCCCTCAAATAACCCCGTTCCCCCAACTAACCCCTCCTCTTAACTAACCTCCCAACTCCAATGCAGAACGAATTAGAGAGAGACAGAAGGATAGTGTGGTTGATCGAGTTCTACACTGCATGGGCACCGACGTGTGGTAACTTTGCACCACAATTCGCTGAGCTATCTGCCAAGTATGTTGCAATTATTATTATCATTATTGTTATTTCTGTTGTTGTTGGTGTTATTATTGTTGTTAGTGTTATTATTGTTGTTGGTGTTATTATTTTCTGTCGTTGTTATCAGGTTCTCGTTGGATAATTTGAAGTTTGGCAAGATGGATGTCACCAGATTTCCAGATGTTGCTAAAAAGTTATTATTATATTTTTATTGTTATTATTATTATTATTATTATAGTTATTAATTATGTTTGTCATTTTAAAATATAAAATATATCTCTATTACTCTTCCTCTAATCATTTCATGGACAAACCAACATTACAAAACAAACCAACAACATCATCAAATCAACAACAACAACATCAACAACAGATTCAACATAGACATATCATCGTGGTCCAAGCAGCTACCGACAGTCATCTTATTTCAGCAAGGCAAAGAGTTTCGTAGGCGGCCAGCCATTAATTCCAAGGGAAAGCTACTGGCCAAATTTGTCTTTTGCAAGGTTCGTCTGTCTGTATGGTTCATTTCATTAAAGGCAATGGTTACATTAATGCTGTACAGTTTTTCAATTTAAATTTTCAATTAAGAAAGAATGTTTTTTGTTGAAGATTTGAATTAATGTTAAGAATTATTCTCTCTCTCCCCCTCTCTCTCATATATTTATGTATAGCAATACTTAAAGTATTGGTATCAATATGTTTCTAGACATTCACCTTTTTTTTAACTGTACTCCATTCATAATTTTTAACTAATGCTCACAATTATTTCATCAACGAATTCGTTTATAATCATAATTTCTTCAATTATAATAGAATAATTATTAAAATAATATAAATGGAATTTTTTTTGTATTTTCAGGAGAATATAATTCGTGATTTTGAACTGTCTGCACTTTACCAACAATGCAAGAGTAACCCACTACCTATAAATAAACGCAAAGAAAAAAGAGCCCAACAGGAAAAAGATAATGCTGAAAGCTCATTGGGCGATGTAGCTGATGGCTCTCAGCCAATCAGAGAAGAGGTGGAGATTATGGATGGGTCGGAAAAACCCAAATCTGAATAAAAAATGAATCTTATTTATTTTTTAAAATCATTGTTCGATTGAATTTGTTTGATTTTTTATTGATTGTTTGACTAATTAATTTATTTATTTGCTCTTACATTGATTTGTTTTCATCATTCACAATCATTTTATTCACCTTTTTAATCATTTTTGACGTTCTTACCATCGTTATCATTGCATATATTATTATATTTCTCATTGTTGCTGATATTATTTATACATGCATACATACGTAAACATACACTCACACATGCACACACACACGTATATATATATATATATATGTGTGTGTGTGTGTGTGTATGTGAAGTTATAAGGTTGTTATTTTTCTTTTTCAAGTTTTCCAACTTCTTATCTTCGCAATCCAAATCGTGAATGAAATTTACAAGAGTCATTTTTTAAATTTATTTATTTTCCGACGTCATTACCGTGATGATGTTCAGCCACCGAGTCAGTTCAGTCGCTGGATGTGCCGTATTTCGCGCTGAATTATTTCGAGGTATTTGGAAACTGCAAATGTGATATAGCTACGTGACAAGACTGTTGTAATTTACGAAATTGTTGTGCTATTTTTAGTTTCACAATCCTTCCGCCTTAAAGGTGATACTTCATTGTATCCATTGTATGTATGTATTTGTTGTACCTGTAACGTGTTTTTGTATTTGCATAATATGTATGTGTATATTTTTATTCAGTTATATAATTATTTTTTGCGGCAGTTTTAGAATGCAAAGTGAAAAGAAGGTATCATTTTATTCTCCCAACGTCACAAGACTGGCTAATTGAAGTTTCAATATAAAGTTAGTTGATTTTATATTGCTCATTATCAATTTGTTATGTTTTATTTATATTTTAGTCTTAGTGAATTCGGTGTAATTGTAAACGTTTCGACGAATTTTGTATGCTCTCGCGAATCATTTGATAGATGGGCGCCGTACTTTTTATGCTACGTCGTCGTTTTTGAGGAGATCCGCTGCCTTCCTGCAACATTTTTGATATTCTCTGCTTACAATTCATCCTTTAATCAAATTCAATTTTGAAATAAATGCATTCCATTCCTCTCCAGAACAGCCGCACGCATGGAATTCGGAGGAAGAAAATCCAAAACTCCCTTCTCTTTGCAGGAATTTGAAAATGCACCAATTCGATTTCTACAGGAATCTCTCGTTTCTCCATCGGGTGCCGACCAGCAGAGTTCCTCTCAGTCGAGCAGTTTGGATCCTTCTGAAGATGTTCCGACAGTAGTTCAAAGTAATGTTGAAAGTAATATTGTTGCTGGTGCTGCTGCTGCTTCTGTTGGTGGTGGAGTAGAGACTTTTGATTTAGTAAATGTTAATGCTGAAAAAGAACAAAACATCGACCCAGCTGCCGACAACTCACAAGTCAGGCAAGAACCATGCACGTTCAACTGTTTGTATTGCCTGAAAAATAATCGGCTAAGAATTGAAGAAAATAATATGAACGCAGTTAGCAGTGAAGAAAAACAAAATCCCGAGTCTCTTTCAAATGAAAATGAACCAACGACGAAGACTCAGACATTTGTAAATATTCCTGCAATGAGCTTTTGTGAAATATGTGGCGCGGGCTGTCCAGAGAGGTTCTGCTTGGATTGCGGGCAACATATCTGTGTTAATTGTCTCGTTTGGCATAACAAATTCAAGGCAAACATTTCGCATAACGTTTGCGGGTTTTTTTTGAGTGATCGCAACAAGTTTAACGTTGCCGAGAATCCTGATATTAACAAGAAAAATGTTAACAAAAAATGTTCGGAGCACAAACTTTTGCAATTGAACGTTTACTGCTTAAGTTGCGATGTTTACGTCTGTGCCCAATGTTACGTGGATCAGCATCGAGATCATAAAACTGTATACATCAGAATCAAGCTTCATGAAGAGAAACTAAAGTTGGAATCGTTGATTTCTTGGTTTAAAACCTCAATAGCCGAACATGTAAGAAAATCTAAAGCTTTCAAGGAGAGTACAGTACTAGTAGACAAAGAAGAAGAAGAGGTCACATTCCAAATTAAATCTAGGGCTAATAAAGCGAAAAATGAGATCAGCAAATACGTGGAAGGACTGCTAATACAAGTTAACGAGTTTTACGCAGACTACAGGCAACAAAGAATGCGTTTTATGCACGAGTCTGAAGTTTCGCTGAGCACCATGATATCAAAATTAACTTTCCTGGAAAGCTGTCTCAGTGATTTGGACCTGGGAACAGTTACAGAGATACGTGATGATTCAGACTTGATGATTCACTCCTGGACTGCCTTCCAGTTGACGCATGAAGGCGGCGGTAGTGGTGGCGGTAGAGTAAGTTCATCAACATTCAGTAACAAAAATAATGTTGCTTTGAATCGATGCCACACCTATGAGAGCCCGCAAGACCTTCATGAAGCCATTCATCAATTGCTTGCGTACATTGGCGATATACAGTTTTAATTCTTGTCCTTATTCAGTCCTTCATCATTCATTCATTCTTTTCATACTTTTTAATAACTAACTTATCTACTCATTCGTCTATTTTAAAGTTTTGTGACGGAACTGAGAAGACTTGATTTTATGAACTTTTATTGCAAAACAGATTTTCTATTTTAATTCATATCTGTGATATTTTTGTGATTTTAACTGCAATAAAATGAAGATTTCAGATACGCAAACTTAAGTTAATTTTTTTAAATTTATTAAAAAGTTTCATAAATACAGTCGAAGTGTTTAGTGCGGGTGGGGTGAGTTGGCCCGCATGTCAATCACTTATCATCTGATGGCAGGATAATAATAATATTTATGAAAATCTGTGTGTTGAGACTTGATCAATGATTTCAAACCAAGTATTGAATGGAGTCAGTGCAAACCGCCTCTATAAATATAAGTTTTTTTTAAATTATTATCGATAGCAGATTTACTAAGTGTAGCGTTTAAATTAGAAATTTTATGATAATAATAATTATTATATAATAATTATAATATATTATATAATAATTGTTACAATATTGTAATAATAATAATAATAATAGGAATATGTTTCATAAATATCCGGCAGTTCTTACGGTATGGCTGATACTCTGCGAGACATCCCTAACAGGTTTTTCTTCTTCTAAAGTTTAGCATCAAAATACATTTTAAAATAATCAAAAATGTAGTAATTTAATTCATTTATTGATTCACTAATTTCTTTCTCGATTTCAGTATCGCAGCACTCATGCACTGAGAAGAATCTGCGTGTGATCAACCGCAAGATGTCCTGGTTCGAAGCTAGGCTGAGGTGCGCTGAGATTGCACCGAACGGCAGACTGGTTAGTATCAAAACAGCTCAGGACCAAGAGTACGTCAGAGCTTTCCTCGAGCACGACAAACCCGACATCAGTTCGTGAGAGATTTTTTCTTAAATAGTTAAAATGCCTGACGCTGCTTTAGCTGTCATCGCATTTGAATGCAGAGAGATCCTCACCGCCTACCGCGTACATGCGTGTGTGTGTGTGTGTGTGTGTGTGCGTGTGGTGTAAAAATAAAACTGAAATAAAATCACATAAAAGTGGAAATGAATTGAAAACCCGACACAGGCAACTGTGAGACAAATTATGCGGGGTACGCCTATTGGACCTCTGGACGCCTCATTAACAGGAAGTACATCTGGACCAATGAGAATCAGGAATTCAGCTACTTCAACTGGAACGGTGGCGAACCGAATGGTGCTACGAGTGGCGAGGAGTGCATTCACCTGTGGGGCAATCTGAAGTGGAATGATTTGAATTGCGATGTGTCGGTATATCATATTTGCCCGCTATGCGAATTTTGAACCTCGCACTCACATTCATTTCAATAGGGAAAAGTTTTTTAATAATTTTGGTTGAGGTGTATTTATTCTGATTTTAAATGAATTTTAAATGAATAAAGTAGTTGTGGTTGTTGTGGTTATGAATAACATACATAAATTAACAAGTGTTTGTTTGTTTCTATAATTACCGACCGATAAAATCGCTCGATAGTTTCAAGCAAACGCTGATTGGCTGGCAAATGATTACATTGTTAAGGGTAGCTGGTGCTCGTGACGTTATTGGTCGCTTCGTTAAACTTGAAATCTAAAAATAATGTTGATTTTGTAAATTAAAATAAAATGGTTATGAAATATTTTTGATTAGAAAGAGCATTCCCGCGTAAGATGATCACTAACATCGTGTTTTTAAGGGAACATTTTATGAGATGGAAACTTGTATCTGAATTGTTAAACTTTAAACTTTGCTCGAAACTGGATTTGCGTGTGTGTGCGTGTAAGTAGATTGAATTGTACATCTGCAGTTTGTATTATGATGACGACGATAGCGTTGCTGACAAGATGAAAATAAGTTGATGATGATAAAACTGATAATGATATATGATAGTGATGATTATGACGTTGAGGATGACGATAACGCTGATGGCTGAAAAAATACATAATAATAATTAATAAATAATAATGACAACGAAGATTAAGATGATGATGATGATGATGATGATGACTTTGTCTCATTACTTTTCTGTACTTTGATCTAGATCCTAATTCTAAACTTTAAATACATTTCAAACACCTGGACATATGAAAATTTTTCTCTTTCTCTCATCTCTTCTCTTCTCTTTTCTCTCTCTCTCTCTCTCTCTCTCTCTCTCTCTCTCTTTATATATATATATATATACAATCTTAGTTACTCAAACTTTTTGCCAGTTGACTTTTCGTTCGTTTGTCTGCGGTTAGATTTTGTTTTTATTAACATAATCCCAAAACACTTTGTATAACCAATTTGCAAAAGAAAACTTCATTACTATAGCTCAATTCTCACGAATCTAGCAAACAATAATTATAGTATAATATAATAATTGTAATTATATTAATGTTAATTATTATAAATAATAATTATTATAATTTTCAGCCAAACTGAGAAGAACTTGAAAGATGTCGTTTTCAAGAATCAGACACAACTTCGCTGTGGAGTGCGAGGCGATGCTGAACAAGCAGATCAACATGGAGCTGCACGCCAGCTACGTCTACCAATCCATGGTAATTAATATTCATAATCCATGGTAATTAATATTCATAATAACCCGATTAATATTCAATATTACCTAGTTAACACTCAAACAACGTAATAATGAAGTTTTAAACTTCAAAAAACTCATGTTAACTTATGGGTACGTCTTTTCCTTCCTCGTGTCTCGGCCTTTCAGACATTGGCGACCGTCGGCCTCTACAAAACCTGGTCTTTATCGCTTTGTAGTTTGTAGCAGTTGAATTGTACTGACATTCAACTATAGTGACACAAGGACTTCACGAATGTAATTCTTTGTTGACCTATGTAGGAATGTCGGAATATTTGATTCACGTTCAAACTCTTAGTTTCTCTAGTTGATGCTATCATGTCATCAATGGTATCATTCTTCTCACAAGACATCTACATGAATAACTGTAAAGCTGACTGGTTCAGTAATTTATTTATAGCCACCTAATTAATATTCATAACCCACAGGCAAGCTACTTCCACAGAGACGACGTAGCCCTGAAAGGTTTCCATAAATTTTTTCAAAAACTTTCACAAGAGGAACGCGAGCACTCGAATAAATTGATGAAATATGTTAATGAGAGGGGAGGAGCCGTTGTTTTGCATGCCGTAAATGTGGGTGGAGTTTGTATAAATTATATTAATTCATTCTTGATTAACATTTGTCTGGATTATACCAACATAAACGTGTGTGGAATATGAATGAATTTTGTTATTTTAGGAAAGGGTGGAGTTTGCAAAAATTATGTTAATGTAGGCATTATAAATTATAATAATAATAATATATTCAAAATTTATTTGCAGAAAGCGGAGAAAGATAGCTGGGGGAGTGGTTTGGAGGCGTTGGAGGCCGCCCTTCAGCTCGAAAAAACTGTCTATCAGAGTTTGCTGGACATCCACAAGATGGCCTCCTCCAATGCCGACCCCCACGTCAGTTGTGTTCTTTAGTTCGTTCGTTCATTCATTCATTTATTCATCCATTCATTCATTCATTTATTCATTCATTCACTCATTTTTCGTTTGTTAGTTTGTATATAATACAATATTATTTACAACAACATCAATAACGAACAGTTAACGAATTGGCTGGAGGATGATTTCTTGAATGAGCAAGTGGAGACCATCTACCAGATGTCCTCTCACATCACTAATCTTAAAAGAGTTGGGACCGGTCTCGGCGAATACTTATTCGATAAAGAGACACTCGATTCATGATTTAATTCTATTCGATACGATTCTATTCGATACGATTCGACTCAATTCAAATCTTTTTTTGTGATCATTTTATTCAAAATTAATTAAATTACTCAGAATCCGATGCAATATTTTTTTCTTTTTCTTGCTCATCCTTTCATTTACTCATTCATCCATCTTTTCATACATTTATCCATCCATTAATTCATTCATCAACTCATTCATCCATTCATTCCTCATCTCCACTCATTCCCTCTTAGGTTCATTCATTGAAACTACGATCACGGATCCAAATATTAATAATATATGAATCAATAATTTTGTCAGAAATAAAATATCTAGAGTTTCATCATAATTCTTTCTTCGCACCGGGTATGTATGTGTGTGTGTATGTGTGTGTGCGTAAATGTGTGTGTGTGTATATAAGAAATTCTATATTTAATTGGTTTGTTTAAGAGAACGAAACCACTATTATCTTAGCAAGCAGATAAATTATTGTGATGAATGAATGAATGAATGATTTGATGAATGAATGGGAAAATGAACGAATAAATTGACTAATGAATGAATGAATAAACGAATGAACAACAATGAACGGATGAACGAACAAACGAACGAATAAATGAACCAAAGTAAAATCGAAAGAACGAACGATTGAATAATGGTTTTTAAAAAACTTCATTTTCTACTGCGTATTTCTACGCAGATATATTTAATTTGTTAATTAAATATTTTAACAAAATTAAAATATTTTTGGAAAGCTTTAATATTGGGAAAAAGGTTCAAGTGAAAAAATTTGATTTGTAAAGTTCGATGTTTCGAGCTATCAGCTATTCACTTAACCAAATAATATTTTAACCACAACTTACCAGCCCATCTCTCTGACGTCACATCTAATTTTTTAATGACGTTACACGTTTTTACTGTTCACGTGATTTAGCTCCCTGTACATTTGATGAATGGCACATGGGGTGCAAAAGAACATGGCGCATATATCCTTCATTATCGTTCCCTGGTTTGAAGGAAATTAGGAATTAGGAAAGGATATATATATATATATATATATATATATATATATATATATATACCCTATCTATATATCCCCACACACACGCACCAAAATACACACACACACATAAATAAACAAACACATATAACAAAGAATGAGATATTTTTGCCGATAAATTGTTTGCGATGGTTGTCATAGTTGCAAAAGAAATGTGTGTAGATATGTGTGTGTGTGCGTGTGTGTGTGTGTGTGTGTGTGTGTGTGTAAAGAATTTTTAAATAAATATATCCTATTCCCCATATGTACGTTACGCTTATGTTGTTTGCAATTGGTGTTAAAATGCAAACAAAGCAAAGTGATTAGAGTATTGTGTGTGTGAGTGCGTTCGTGTGTGTGTGTGTGTACGTAAGCGCTACATAAATTATAGTTAACCTATGCAACCGTCAATATCAAAGCAAGTATCGATCCGATTATACTCGGCGGCACTACCCTTAACGAATACTGAAACGCTCCATCCCTTTTTTCACATTATAATTCTTAAAAGCTGTGATGAATACTGATGTGGGTGGATCTGATTACTTTTATTCATTTTCATAATTTTCAAACATTATTACTTTTATTGATATTATTGCTCGGTTTATACCTTTATAAAATATTTTTTTTTGGCAAAAACAGAATGATGCATATTGATCGAACTTGCGTGTTCTTACTTGTGCAATTTGTGTTTGTATTATATACACATATACACACGTGTATGTGTGTTGTGCCTAAGTGTGCGTATTTCTGTGTATGCGTGTATGTGTACAAATAATCAGCCAACCACTCAGCCAACCAATCAGCCAACCAGTCAGACAACCAAGCAAGATCGACCAATCACAAACCGACCTTGATTCCGTGTTTCATTCTGGCCTTGGTCCTGAGGGCCACAAGGAAGGTCTGGCCGCAGAGTTGCGACCCCAAGTGATATTCGCTCAGACGGAAAGAAAGTTCGCAGAGGAAGCAACTTTGACAGAAAAGACAATAGGCGCCTTTGATGGGTGGATGAAGGACAGAAGATGAATGGATGGATGGATGAAGGAACAGAAGATGAATGAATGGATGAATGAATGAATGAATAAATAGATGAATGAATGACTGCCACTAACATCCTTTGCAATCCTGAAAACACCCACACAATCCGGAACTCCAATCTCGCAAATTTTCTGGGAAAACGAGTTTATCGTAAAAATCGAAATCATCACCACTCTGTTGGGAATCGCTCCACGCATTTCTTACTCCGTTGTTGTAGTTGATGTGGCTGAAACCGTTACGTTTGTAGCGTTCACAACAAGGGCAGCGACAGTTTTTGGTAGCGTAGGTACTGTTGTTGTGGTTGTTGTTAAATAGTGTTTTCGTAGTTGTTGCTGCAACCGGTTGTCTGTCGATGATTGAGACGTTGTTGCTTGGCTGGAAGTTGTTGATGTTTCTGTTGCTGTGGCTGTTGTTGTTGTAAAAGTCATTTTCGTAACTTATTACATTCATGTTGTTGTTGATGTTGTCCTCATACGCTGGTGCAGTTGCACTCCTCGCTACTAAAAACAAAATTTTTAATAAATCCACTCTCATATCTCAGGTTTAGGACAATTTTCGCAAAATACAAGTCAAGTTACACCACCGCAAATGCAGGCTTCCAAATAACTCGAAACTAAACAAAACATCACTGAAAAAAATCCGATGTTGCAAACGAACCCTCATTAAGCTGTCCAACAGGATACAATCCACCAGCTGTCATAGGCGGGCCTCCGTAATTCCCGTAAGACGTGTGACCACGGTCGTCCCTATTATAATTAACCCCTTCATAATTATTGGTACTATAATTATTATTGTAATTATTCTTGATATTATGTTCGACATCCATCACAGTTCCAACGGGAGTCCCGGAAAGAGCTATGTTAACCGGGGAGAAGTTGTTGTTGATGGGAGTGGGAGCTCCCAATCCGGATATATTTTCCGCGGTATCCGTAACCATCGGTAGGACTTTGTTGTAGTTCGTTTTGATGGCGTTGACCGTTCTGCCTAAATTATTCAGACTGCCCTGGTGGATTGTCGGTCTTTCAGGGGTCGAGTTCATTTTCTTATTTTTTTTTTTTGAGTTTATTTATTCTTACTTTCCTGCAATTATTTTATTTTAGAGTTTTGCCATTTGTTTATTTGTTCATTTATTCGTTCCAACTTTCATTCATCTTTTTTATTCATCCACGGTTTATATTAGACTAAATTTTCTACTTTTTTCATATATGTATATATATATATATAGATATATATATATAGATATACATCCTATATATATATATATATATATATATATATATATAAATGTACCCAACCCGAATATGACGCAAAGTTTTGCCAAAAATTGATCGATGTACACACACATACACACACACACACACACACACTCACACATAATTTTATATATTGCATGCATACATGTGTATATATTTTGTTCTTTACTGAATTATATTTGATACTCTATTTATAGATATTCAATTTTTTCCTAAAACCAACCATAAATTAGTCACAAATTTGCTGATTCTTCTTCCGTTTTGGCCGGATATTTTGAAAATGAAAAATTCCTTCATTACTGCTCTGGCCTAAAACTTTGAAAGGCAAATTTTCAGACAGCTAAGGACTTTTTTTGTTTCCAAGACCGATATAACTTTTTTTATAACTGTGGATGTTGAGTTGATGTCGTTGTAGTTTTTATTGCTTTAAAGTAATTTCAAACACTTCACAAGTTTGATCTCAGCACCATTTAATAACATCGCGACAACAACAAAATAAAACAATGATTAAATACACAAGTAAACGAAATAACGCATTCGAGTTTTCTTAAAGTTTAGTTTAGATTCTTTAGAAACTGCAAAGAGAAATAATATAAATTATTATTATTAATATTAACTTTTGAATTAACTATAAAAATATTAATTATTTTATATTATTACCAAGTATAAATAATAAAACCACCATTTTTCTTTCCCTTATGGCCTGTTGGACCCATAGGAAATCGTGTACGAGTTTCTGTTTCATGTCACTAACGTCAGGAGGATCTACGATATTGCCGAGATAAAACTATTTTTCTATATTTTCCAGTCACAATTTATATATTTCCATAATCAACTATGATTTTATTAAATGAAATTATGAAATAGAATTTTATTCGCAATATATATTCGAATAATGCAAGGTTCAATACTTTTTACAATGGTCTCCGTAGAGTTTGATTCACTTGTACCATTGGAGGTTACAATTTTTGAAGTTTTATTGAGGTTTTCGTTATTTTTCTTACGAAAATGATCAAAAGTCTTCAATTTATTTTGCAATTTGTCAGAGAGAAACTTTTCTGAAAAATGTTTTTCTTCGATTTCTTCAAATATCTTTTTATAACTGGCATTCAAAGATCTGAATTGATTCCTTACATGGAAACCTTTCCACAAAGCCTGAATGTATTGTGTGTGTTTTTTGTGTATGTATGTACGTATGTATGTTTGTACGCCTATGATGCTTAGAGGTTTGTGTACTTATAATTAATAAACTTAACAACCAAAACATAACTAAATTATGCATTATTTCAATTACTTAATACATTTCTCACAATAGCATCTGTGAAAATCTCATTGAAGGGACATATAATGATTCAAATTTATGTAGAAAAAGTTGGTTAATTTGACGTTTTTAGAAAATAAAAAGCGGATTTTTACGCAATTAATTGATTAATATTACTTTTTATGTAATATAAAATGTATAAATAATGTTAAAGAATTCTTTGTTAATTATGGTTTAAAAAGTAAAATTTTTTAGAATTCAAAAACTCGTAAATGTATTTTTTAGTCAACTACCTGAAACTTTACAATCTTCGGAATTAACTCTTCCAAAGCGGGAATTTCATCAAACAAATCTTCCATTTAGTTGAAAATTCAATGAATTCGAGAAATTATTTAAAATTTTAGTCTGAAATTTCAAAATTTGTAACGAAACTGACAAAGCGGCTTCATCTTTACACATCAATTAACAAAGTTGTTTTTTTACCTGGTTGTTATGGTTACCGTTAAATGTACACTTTTTCAGACTGCGAAAGCACATCTCTCTCATCGAGCGATAATGAATTATCTAAATGTAAATCTATTCAAGTTTTAAAAGCTCATTTTTTGTGGCCTAAAAATAATTTTCTGAAATAACCGAATATTATTTTTACTTTTACTTATTTTTTTAAAAGCATTCAATCAATTAAAAAGATTTGAACAGAAATGGAATTAAGCGTCTATCTAATTCTGCTTACCGGATCAGTGCTGAGACTTCTACTTTTCGATACGGACATTGCCGTTTGGCTGTCAGATCGTAACGAACTTTCTACGCCTGTTACCAGTTGGAAACGTCTGACGGAGGGACTGACTCTGACGAGACTTGGGATTTCCCCGTACGATGGAGACGTTTACCATGAAGCTCCCCTAACTCTGGCATTCTGGGACAAAATGGATCAACTATTTGGATCATCAATTAAATATTTATTCATAATTTCTGATTTTCTAATTGGTGTTTTGCTTTATAAAATAGGTACACTGTTTGCTTCTCAAGTCCTAAATGAGCAAAACAAAGAAGCAGCAACATACCATCCAACAGCCATAGAAATAATCATAAAAAATGAAACAGTAAGAACGAACAGACTGTACACAGTGGCTGCCTACATGTTGAATCCCATCTGCATAGCTTCCTGTGTAGCTAGGAGCACTGGCATACTCAACAATCTTGCCATTGTGTTAAGCTTCCATTCAGCTTTGAGAAGGAATCGTTTGTGGATGTGCATCTCCATAGCTGGGGCCACTTATTTATCTTTGTACCCCATTGTCCTGCTGATACCACTGACAATATATTTATCAAGGAAAGATGAAGAAGAAACAAAGACAATTAAACACATCAAGATATATTCATTCTTTCAAAGTTTAATTGCCTGCATAAGTTTCTTTGGAATTTTGTTATACTTTTCACATCAAATTGAAGGAAATTGGAAATTTCTGCACTGTACATTTGGGTTCATCCTGAATGCCCCTGACCACAGCCCCAACTATGGTATATTCTGGTACTTTTTCACAGAACTGTTTGAACATTTCAGGCTGTTCTTTGTTTGTGTGTTTCAGATCCATGCATTCCTCTACGTTCTCCCTCTGTCCTGTCGTCTGGTGGCCGACCCATTCTTTGCTGCCTATTTATCGATTGCATTCACCTGTGTATTTAAAAGTTATCCTAGTTATGGGGACATGGCACTTTGGGGGTCTATGATATTTCTTTGGAGTCATACTTTTAGGTCTGTAGGTTGGTTGGATGGTGGGTTGGTAGATTGATAAGCTTGCCTGATGATTATTTCATGGATGGATCGATTAGTCAATGAATTATTTTATTAATATTTTTTAATTTGTAAAATCAAAAACCAACCCATACAGACATCTAAGAAGCAGTTTTTTATCACTAATTACACTAATTGTGGCGACCATCTTGGGCCCGGTTCTCTGGCACTTGTGGATGTATGCAGGAAGCGCCAATGCCAACTTCTACTTCGCCTCATCTCTCGCAATATCGGCCGCGCAAGTATTTATCATCTTTGATCTCCTATTTGCCTACCAGAAGAGGAAGTTGGAGTTGAAGATGGGTGTGAAACAGAAAGGCCCAGACGGAAAACCTGTCAAATATTATCTTGAGTGAATGAATGAATGAACGATTGATTGATTTTTAGTTAAGTGATTGATTATTTGAGTTGTTGATTGATTAATTTTATTGATTGACCAGAGGATTGACTGATTTTTCAGTTTGTGTGTGTTTTTCAAAATGTTAAATACAAAAAACCATTTGTATATTTTTGCCCGCCTACCTGAGAAAGTTTCAAATATCATTCAAACTTTTTCAATTTATCTGTTTGTTGATATTATTAAATCACATTCTTTCGCATTTTTTTCTTATTTAATAAGTTGTTACCTGACGGAACAAATAAACGAATGAATGAATAAATGAAAGAATGAATGAATGATTGATCGATCGTAGTCATAGTTGAACATTACTTTATCACATGCCGTCGTATAAAGAAAAAATTTTATAGAAAAGACAAATCGCATCTTAGCATCACTTACATTAGGAGAATCAAAATAAAAGTTACAATGATGACTTTCATCATTTAAATATATAAATTCTTATGTATCTTTATTTAATATATGCAGCTGTGTACGTACGCACGCATGTGTTAGACAGAAACCATCGAAACGGCAATAATCCTTATATAAATTCCTATAAAAACTCGAATTTAATGACAACAAGCGAAAGAACCTTGAGTAATAATGGTACAATTGTCACTTGCATAAGTATTATTAATATTCGCATGTTGTTGAACAGTCGTGAATTGACATTCGAGACTAAACTTTGCATGGCAAATGCATTTTTCTAAATTCAACGAAAGTTGTCTGATTCTTATGTATATATAAATATACACAGGATATAACAGTTACAAAAGGACATAATGTTAATGAAAAAAGCCAGTGATGCGGAATGAGTTAGTTGAGTTTTATGATAAACACGCTAATATATATATATATATATATATACATAAATATGTATATTTTTTGTGTGTATGTATGTATATACATAGCTTATCACACCTAATATTAATAATATTGAAACATAGATGATGATGATGGAAATAAGAAACACAGCTTAACACCGGGTGAGCGGTTAACATAATGATAATGAACGCTAATGACACTAGCAATAAGTATATATAATAAGTATAGCATGATCATTGATGTCAGGTTTATAGTTAAACTTGATTTGGTACGAAATATAAAAAGCATTACGTATGCGTATCAATGCCTATCTGCCTACAATGTCAATAACTAACTTCCAGTTGATAGTATATTAAAAATAAATTAAAATAATTAAAAGATAATCATGTTAAGGTGTTTTCTGAATAAAGAATCTCGAAAATTATTACCGTTAAATAAGAACATTTGAACAAACTAATTTTAACTCACTAGTTACTACATATAAAAATAAATACGACTGTGCTGGCAAAAAATCGAAAACTAGGTAAAACCATTGTGAATA